GTAGCCATGGAATCAACCTTAGTGTCCATCAACAGATGAATGGATAAAGACAAGTGGTATACATATTAAAAAAAAAACACTATTCAGCCTTAAAAAGAAGTTAATTCTGTCATTGCACCATGAACAAACCTAAAGAACATTCTATTAAGTAAAGTAGGCCAGGCACAGAAAGACAAATACCACATGATCTCACTTACATGTGAAATCTAAATAGTTGAATTCGCAGAAGTAGAGGGTACAAAGGCAGTTACCAGAGGCTGGGGGCAGTGGGGAGGAGGCATTTCAGAAATGTTGGTCAAAGAATTCACAGTTTTAAAGTTTAAGATATTAAATATACAGCCTGGTGACTATAGATGACTATTCAATGCATTGCAACTTGAAAATCAGAGGGTACACATCTGCCCTGGCCCTCTAACCACCTACCTGGCTCCTATGCCCAGCTGTATAAACATTATACAGCCTGACTATGTACCCTGAAAACCAGTACTGTGCTTGACCATAAAAACATTACAGTAGGTTCATTCTCATTCTTAACTTCCCTTTCCGAGATGATCTGCTTTCATTCGATTGAAAGTGCTTTCCTTTCCTAATAAACTTTATCATCATTTTCACTAAAAAATGTGGCAGTAGAATGTTTTGGAATCTGACAGGTCTAGGTTCAAATTTGGGCTCTACAACTTATGTGCTATATGGGATGAACTAGTCACTTAATTCTTAAACTCTCTGGGCTTCATGATCTATCAAAATGGTTTAGCAACCTTTCTGTGAAGATTAATAATACTATGTGTAGTGATGACTGTGCTACCTAATAAGAGTAGGTGTTCAGTGGCAGGTATTAGGTTTAATAATATACATAACACAATGAGTTATGTGGTCTTGGGTAGGTATCTGATGTAATAGGTATAATAATAGGATACAGGATAATAGCAATTCTTCAATGAATGGTAGTTACAAGAACAGTAGCATTTTGGATAGCATTTATATTTTTTATATCCAAGTCTTAGTATTACCTCTATTAAATGTGCCGCCTAATAGAGGTCTAATAGATGTCTGAAGAGCTAAAATGCACCCAAAAGTGCTAGTATCATCACTATGTCAAGCAGGAATGTGGCAGCTCAGCCAGAGGAACCCTCCTGTCTTAAGTCACAGTGGGAAGAAATTTCAGTCCCCAGATGGAAACTCCCAAAGAATGCCCAGCTTGCTAGCTCTAGGGACCAAGCCTGAAACATCTTAGGGGCATTAGGTTTCCTGGCTGGGGCTTCATCCAGCCCAGGGGCTCTGTGCTGCATGGATAAAGAATCTCCAGGGCTTTTCAGGGCCTGGAACTCCACTCCTCAACCCCATTCTGACACAAAGAAGACTCTTGGGTCTGGCTACTAGAAGCCCTTCCCTCCAGGGTTGCTCTGAGTCCAGCAACTTAAGAGAGGTGATCACCCCTGTAGAGCCACCTTGTTAAGCAGAGAAGGATGGACTACTTTCTTCTGGGCTGCCAGCCCAGAACTGAGAAAACAGGATGCTGTGAATGTGGAGGAAACTACTGAGGCAGAAGAACAGCTGGTCATTTGTAAGTGACTGAAGGAGGACATAGGAGAGGTTGCTGCCCTGGGCATTTCTAAGAATGGACAAAAGGGCCTTAGTCTCTCTGCCCTACTCAGTGAAAAAGAGGAACATGAACCTTCCTTTCCTGGGCAGGAATTGATCTCCAGCTCTCTTCATGGCCATTTCCAGGCTTGTGTAGTCTCTCCAGGAGCCCCTTTCCACCTCTGCACCCAGAATGTGTCCCAAAGCACCCTAGGGGGAGCCCTGATAGGCCATCCTCTCCCTTCTCTGCCAGAAGTGTAGAGGCTAGAAAGAAGCAGTGAACACAAAGAACTTTCCTAGTAAGAAGGCTTGTTGCAATTGTTCTCTCATAAGTGCTTTTGTGAAGGGCAACAGAGCCCAGTAGGACCCGGTAGGCAATGCAGTTAGAGACTCAGGTCCTAGTTCTGGTTCTGCCATTTACTAGTTTAGTGGAAGGCATAGCACAACCTGGTCTTAAAGCAGAGAAAACCAGCACCGGAGTAGGGCTCCAAAAACTGTCTGCCAGTCTCTACCATAACCTGGCAAAGGGGACCCTACCATATCTTTCCCCAAATGAATAAAACTATGAATCCAAGGTTTTGCCAAGCCCTGAACAGGTACCTTTTTTGTGCTAGATACTGTGGAGAGATCTCAAAGAGACACAGCCTCTGTCTACTGCCTGGCTGGGAAGACAATACATACATGAAATAAATAAACGAGGCTGGACTGGCCAGGTAAGGAGGAGAAAAACCTGAACTGGTCTTTGAAGGTCGGTGGGATCCGAGAAAGCAGATGAAATTAAGGGAGGCATCCCAGCAGAGGGACCACTAGGGCAAAGGGTGACGAGCATACGTGGCAGGTGCTGAAAAAGAGCTAATTTGGAGATTCTGTGGCCTCAAAAAAGAGAAGTCTCCAGCTGCCCAGACCAGGATCCCATTGGTGGTCATGCCATTAGCATCATGGCTCAGAAGTCTCCCAAGCTACTGGAGATTCAAACCGACTGGAAAACCCAAGGAAAGGCCTTGTGTCCTACCAGGGAGACATCAGACGGGTCATCTATTGGTATGCGGACTAAGAGGCCAGCAGGAGACCTCTAAAAAGGTCCTGATCTGGGATGTGAACAGGCAGAAAGGAGGATGTGTGCTCCTCCTCGTTCTCCACCTTCATTGATTGACTTGACATCAGTGCTGGCTGTTTGTGCTGCTGACCAATCACTCTCAAAAGTTTCCTCTGTCTATGCCAAGGCCCTGAGCTGTGCCAGGGTCACTCTTATCTTCTAGGCTTTCCTCACTTGGGACATTTTTCTCCTTTATCCAATTACTGATGCTCCTTAGAGCTCAGAATACACATCTAACACCATTTTCTTTTGCCTGTTCCACCTCTGACACTTATTACGTCTTCCAGACTTCCACCATCATTGTAGCATTCAGTTCTCACAACCATGTTTTCATGCCTGTTCCCTGGGACCTCAGATATTTGAGAATGCTGCTGTATCTCCTCTCTCCCCTCTTCATTCCTCCTTCTACCCAACTTCCTGCTATCTAAGTTGCTACCATTTATTGAGCACTTTCTGTAAACCAGATATGTTTCATGCAGTCTCCACTATGGAGGAGACAGTGCACCCATTTTACAGATTGAAAACAAAGGACTATAGGGAAGCTAAGTGACTTGGAAGGAGGTAAAAAAGAGGCTACCAGATTCAGGTGTACTGACCCTGAGTTCATGCTTTATGTTCTTCCCAATGCCCTGGGCTCACATCTCTAACTCCAGAATGAATCTCCTGCCCACATAATTCTGCTCAGTTCAGCTCACCACACTGTGGTGCTCAAAGCATTGACATGGTCACAGATCTCCAGTATGGTGTACCTGGGATCAAAGACTATCACAACTGGAAGGGCGCTGTGGAACCCTCAGATACAACAGCTTCATTTTTTTTTTTAAATGGGACTATGAAGCTCAGAGATTTACCCAAGATCACACAGCAAAATCAAGGGCACCAGGAGTCATCCCAGCTCTTCCGATTTCCAGACTTACTTTGCTTATACTAATCCCTCGTATTTGCCTGATGTTTTCTATTTTGCAAAATGTCTTGTGCAGTATTTCATATTTGCCTTGCCAATACCCTCTGTCATAGATATTCCATCTCTGTTTACCAGTTGGGTAGACTGACGCTAACAGAGGTGAAGAAATTTGCCCAAGGCCACACAGCTGGGTAAGTGACTATCCTGGGGCATGCAGGAAAAACTGAATTAAAGAGTTGGTCATGGGAAGGTAACTGAAAGGATTCGGCAGAAAATCATGCATATATCTAAGTTTTAAAAAAATGTCTAAGGCTGGCAGAGTGACTCAAATGGTAGAACGCCTGCCTAGCAAACTCCAGACTGAGTTCAACCCTCAGTACTGCCTGCTCCCCAAAAAAGCCTAGTCAGGCCTTAGGGGAACTGGGAGTAGCAAACCAAGAACCAGGGTCACTGTCTCAGGCTCATGTCTGCAAGGTCTCTTTTTTTCCAGTGGTACTGGGGTTTGAACTCAGGGTTTTGTAATTGCGTGGCAGGCTCTCTACCACATGAACTACTCCTCAGCCTTTTTTGCTTTGGTTTATTTTTCAGATACAGTTTCATGCTTTTACCCAGGCCAGTTTTGGACTACAATCCTAATTCTACCTTCCAGGTATGTGATATTGCAGGCATGATTTACCACACTTGACCTGTAAATGTATCCTTATTGCTATAAAACACTTATGTTGGTAAACATACACATAGTAAACTTGTCTAGAGTTAATTTGCTTAACTGATTTTTAAAAACATATAGAGAATGTTAAAAACTACATATCAAAATGTTAAAAACTAAAATCTAGTCAATGAATATCAGAATTATCACAATTTCTAAATTAATAAACTTTAAATGTATTTGATCCTAATGTAAAGTCTGTAGTAGAATTGTACTTGCTTTCCTAGTATTTTAAAAATATTATCATCTCTGTAAGACTTTCATTTGTTTTCTCCTTATAGTTTCAGCTCTCTGTGACTTGGGGTCACCACCACACCAGCTCTAAGTTCATAGAGAACCCACCTTTCAGATTCATAATTTTAATTCTCAGCAGAGGCATTTGCCTACTCCAGACTGGGACAATTGAGTTCCTTGCTACAAAGTTGGGAGAAGCATGTCACCTAATTTCTTGCCTTCTATGGATGAGGGTAGCTTCTAGAGAAGGCCCTGTGGGCAGTCAGTAATCCTGTGTTCTGTTACAGGTATGAATTCAGATCTTCTGCCTTCTTGCCCAGTGCCACAGCCACCCTAATTTCCTTTCCCTTTTCATCCAACTCAACAGAGGTAAAGTGTTGTGGGGTCAGGGGGCTTGGTTTCAGTCAACTCTGTGCTCCCTTCCCCAAGGCCAAGTACAGAACAGGGTGAGTTTGTCTCTTAACAGACAGATTACCATGCATAGGCTTGGCAAGGAAAACCATAGCTCAGTGTCAGAGTTTGTCCTCCTTGGCTTCTCCAGTGCATCACAGATCAGAGTGACTCTGTTCATCTTCTTCCTCCTGCTGTACCTCATCACTCTCCTGGGCAATGGCCTCATTGTCACCCTGATCTACCTGGACTCTCGACTCCACACACCCATGTACTTCTTTCTCAGCATCCTCTCTCTGGTGGACATGAGCTATGTCACCACTACTGTGCCCCAGATGTTGGTTAATATGGTGTGTCCAAGGAGGACCATACCCTGGAGTGCTTGTGTAGCCCAGATGTTCGTCTTCTTGGTCCTAGGCATTTCTGAGTGTGTTCTCTATGCCATTATGGCCTGTGACAGGTATGTTGCCATTTGTTTCCCCCTTCACTATTCCATACTCATGAGCCGTCTCGTTTGTATCAAGATGGTTTCTGTCTGTTGGTCCATTAGCATCACTGGGGCTCTGATCTACACTGTCTTCACCATGCGTCTGCCCTACTGTGGCCCCCACAAGATTAACCACTTCTTCTGTGAGGTCCCTGCTGTCCTGAAGTTGGCCTGTGCAGACACATCCTTCAATGACCGGTTGGACTTCATCTTGGGTTTCATCCTGCTTTTGGTCCCACTCTCCCTCATCCTAGCCTCCTATGTCTGCATCTTTGCCTCCATCTTAAGAATCCGCTCAACCCAGGGGAGGCTCAAGTCCTTCTCCACATGTGCTTCCCACATCACTGTGGTCACCATGTTCTATGGGCCAGCCATGATCATGTACATGAGACCAGGCTCCTGGTATGACGCAGAGCGGGACAAGAAACTGGCCCTGTTTTACAACATTGTCTCAGCCTTCCTCAATCCCATTATATATAGTCTCAGAAACAAGGATGTGAAGGGGGCCTTTCAGAAAGTCCTTGGAGGCAGAGGGACAGCTTAATAACCCAGAATGTTCCAGAGTTGCCCCTGGTTACTGGCAGACTGGATGAGGCTGATTTGGCATCATAAAGATACACCATTTCTGAAAGAGACATTACTTCTGATTAACTAGCTTTCCTGGAGTTGTGAGCAGCCAGAGAGAATGTGACCACATCTAAACTGAAGATCCCACACAATGGTTGAAAAATTTGTAGTTGCCCCGACCCAAAAACTCAGTTAAGAATTAAAGGCAAAGGATTTCTTTAAAGACGATGTCCTTGCAGTTCATGGCCATTGCTTTATTGGTTTTTCTGGGCATCACTCCTTAAGAGCACAGCCAAATGTTTAATATACACACATGCTTTTCTACAGTATGAAGGAATTTGGGGTGAAAATTGAATGAAGAAAAGGCAGATTATGCAGGGAAGCAGTCTTGTGTTATTGTTTGGCAAGCACTAATAGGTAATATTTAATATTATTTTTTGCATGGATGCTATAAAATCCAAGCTAGAATCATTTTAGACACATCTGTGAAAAAATATGGCCAATAATTGGTATAGTCTGGGCTCAGTTTGTAAAAACGACTTTTACCTGGTAGTTTAAAAATTACTTTTTGAGTCTCATTTTTGTTTTGAGCAAACAAATATATATATTTTATAAAAGAAAGATGTATAGATTATGCATACCTGTATCTACATATCTATCAAATAGATGGAGACAGAAATAAAGAGATATGTGATCTTCATCTTCTGGAACCCTTTGTTACTTATGATTTATAACAAGAATAAATAATTAAATTAAAATAAAAGAGATATGTGAAGACAGTAACAGAAATTAATGTAAGACTCCATTTTCTCCCACCCAAAATAAATGCTTGTTAATACCTTGTCATGTTTTGTCCAAGTCTCTCTTTCTTTGTGTTTGAAAAATTAGATCATAACAGTAACAGTTAAACTGTTTTGAATATTTCTGACTCATCTGAATCAATTTCCATCATTAAACTGAAGTCTGTTCAGACCATTTTTAAGTGTTTGCTTGCATATAATTGTACCCATGAGTAATACATAGAATTGTTCTTATATGTGTTTAAACTTTTTAATGGTATCCTGATATCAGTATGACTCTAAAAGCTTACAATATCATGTTTCTGACATTTTCTCATTTGATAATAGATCTACCCCATTCCCTTTAGCAAGCATTTGATACCACATTTTATTTATCTAATTCACTTTCATTGAATATTTATTTCCATTTTTTTACTATTTAAAAAGTTCTGCAAAAGATGCCTTTGAGAATTTCTGCACATAATAAATATTTTTCTAGGCTTTACATATAAAAAGCAAACTGCAGATTGTAGAATCAAAGACATTTCAAATTTACTAAGTACTTCTAAATTACTCTTTCAAGTAGTTCTATCAATCTACACCTCTCACCTTACCTACATCTGATATTATCTATATCAAATGATATAATGTTTCTATTTATCTTATGGATGAAAAGAGCTAACATTGCTCTTTCTTTCATTCGCTATTCCCTGGTTGCTAGTGAGTTTAACATCTTTTGTAAGATTGTTGATAGTATTGTATAGTGTAGTAAGCTCTAGAATCAGACTCCAGGGTTCAATTCCAGTTCTATCCTTATTAACTCAGTGATGGTGAACAAACTATCTGACCTCTCTGAGTTTCAGTTACCTCAGTTTAGAGGGTTGTCAGAAGATTAAATGAGATAATACATACAAGGCACTTATCATAGCAAATAACAAATAGGAAGAGTTGTTTGCCTTTGTGGTTTGTTACTCATTTTGGACATACTCATTTTGTCTACTACATGCATTGAAAAAATCTTATACGAGTTTATTATTTGCTTTCTTTATTACAAAAGTAGTACATGTTTATTCTTAAATTTTATGAAACAGAGGCAAAGACAAGAATATCATTTATTACCTTAGACCTGGAAATAACTACTCCTAACATTCTAGTGTCTATGTTTTAGGGTTTAAAATTTTAATTGCTTTTCTATAAATATTTTGAAGAAATATACATAAAATTCTTAAACAATTGATGCTTTCATTGATGAATTTTGAGTTCAGTTATTCACTATGTATTCTTTTGAACTTATGTTCATTCAACAACAGGTTTTGGACATTTCTCCAGGTTCTTTTTTTTTTTTTAACTGTTGAAGATTGTTCTTTTCATGAAGAAAATAGAATAAACTAGAAACAACTTGTGATGAACAGAATTCTTTTCTTCTTTTTTTTTTTTTAACAGTACTGGGGTTTGAACTCAGAGTCTTGCACTTGCTAGGCTGGCTCTCTACCACCCCAGCCCAAGACTTCTTAGCACAATGCAGGTGAACTTATGCATCTTTTCCTCCGTGGTTTTGAAATGAGCACATGTCAGAGATTTCACTAGGTTCATACATTTATGAAGGAACCAGATTTCAGGACTGATTTAAAAGGAGAATTTGACTTACAGAAATTTATATTCTCAACTGAACAGGTTTCATTTTTGAAAGTAGAATGAGTTTAATTTTTATACTTTTCAAAAGCATTTCCTAGTTTTTCAACTCTCCTCTCATTTAGAAAGGAATTGAGGCAGCTCTTTTCCATATAACTAAATTTGCTGATTGGAAAAAAATTCTTCGTCAAACCCTTTAAATATGTCTTTGGCTAGGAAACAGTTCTTGCCATCTTTGTGGGATTTGGAAGGGTGCAGTCCTTGGGGAACAAGTTACAAAGTCAGGAATGGGCTATGGACCCAAACCAGCAGTCAGTACCCCAAGGAAGGCCTGCACAGCTCAGGGAGCATTCACAGAACTGGAGATAGAGATGGGAGTCCCTGACCTAGCCAAACCTAAAATTACAAACCTGTTCTCTTTGAATCCTATCCTCCCCAGAATGCCAGGCCTCATGGCTGACTTCTCTCATGCTCTGTTCACAACAGATTTCTTTCTGTTCTTCAACTACACCAGTTGTTCATTTAATCACTCCATCCTTATTGATGCTTTTTTAATGTTGATCCCTGTGCTAAACACTAGCAACACAAATGTCAAGGACACTATCACTACTCCAGGTGGCCTGGGGGGAGGGAATTCATGGTCATTTTCTTTCCTTCCTCTGGATTTTTACACACTTTGTACCCTGTACCCAAATTGCCTTTCTCTACCTTCTCTATCAAATTTCTGTTCATCTTTCAAGACTCAGCCCAAATACTGACTCTTTTGTAAACTCTTTCCTCAGCCTTCCAAGAAAAAGAGTCAATGGGACCATTCTCTGTGTCACTACAGAATCTTGGGTATGCCTTTCCCTTGGTCCTTTGGACATGTGCATTCACCTTCATCCTCTCAGCCAGTCCTTAAGTTCATCATGGGTAGAGTCAGGGGCCAAGCTTTGTTCATCTTTGATCTCCAGTGGCCAGTAATGCCAGCCATACATTAGGCAGCTATGAGTATTTGTTAACTGGTCAGTGAACCCATAGCACAGGTAGGAACATGACCAGCAATCCTGGAGAGCTCTCAGGAAGGAAGAGCTGGCCAGTAGGCAGGGAGTGTCAGGGAGGCACTGTGCAGGGAACAGGGGCAGGTGACCACAGAAGAAAGCCAGTCATTAGCAAGAGAAGATTTCATAGATGAGGGCGCACTGAAGCTGGGTTTGGAAGCTTGCACAGATGGATTTTTCTTAGTGTGCATTAAATTGTTTGTAAGGGGTTTCATTATGACACTTCCATATATGTACACAATCATTTTTACCTCCTATTATTTTTATCCCCCCTTCTCATCTCCCCTTTGCCTTCCCTTCTGCCTCCCTAGTGGTCCCTTTATTTTCATGACCTTGGTTTTTTTCTTCCTAATTTCTACCGATGAAAGAAAACACATGATCCTTGTCTTTATGGGATTGGCTTATTTCACTTAACACGATTTCCAGCAAACAAATAGGGTAATTTAACTCTTCTTAAGGCTGAATAAAGCTCCATCATATATACATATCACATTTTCTTTATCTGTTCATCTATTAATGGGCACTTAGGCTGATTCCATACTGGCCTATTATGAATAGACACATAAGTGTCTTGCAGGCAGTGTGCTGCAGCAGGCACTTGATGCTGAGGGGACAGTAGGAGGTGGGCATTCATAAGTGGTTCTGGATGCCCAGAGTGCAAGGTGTGAGTGAGTAAAGAAGTATGCAGGGGAAAGAACATTTAGAGGTGGACAGGATTGGTTCAAGAAGAGCTCAGACTGCTAGATAGAAGAGCTGAGCTTGAATTCTGCTGTCAGGAATTCCCTGAGTGGGAAGGAACAAAATCAGGGCTGGGAGTTAGAAAGATAACTATAGCTTCCATGTGGACACAGATGGTCTACAGAGCTGGGTTGCTGAATCCAGGACATGCCACTTGAGATGGGACATAAGTCATGGACCAGAGTACTTGGTACTGGTTGAGCAGCCAAGGGAGAGAGGTCTCCAGCTGGACCAAGGAAATGATGGAAAAGAGGCGTCCTCTCCAAGAGTGAGAACACTCCTGCAATGGAAGCTTCCCTGGGGCAGGGCAGGCAAAGTCTCCAGTCCTGAAGGTCTCAGAGGCATCTTAAGTCAGACACAGACAGTACCAAATCCTGAGGTCCCTTCCCCTGGAGGAAGAGGCATCATGGCTCAGTCAGTGCTGCACTGGGCTACATGTTGAGATCAGGGTCAAGAGAGCAGGGAACAAAAAGAGCTTGTCACTGAGAGTATCTAGCCCCAGTTGACTACATAAGGAGGAGAGGGAGAGCAGGCCCATGAGCAAGGCTCACAGCTACCAGCCTACCACTCTATCACTGAGGACACAGGCCACCCAACCCAAGAAGCCCCCCTTCTCCCCTTTCCAGTGTAGAGGCTGCTGGATTCAGCTGAATTCAGCAGCTCCCAGTGCCTGTATGTAACCCCAGATTTTCTGCTCAAGCCCCAGTCTGGCTCCTGGAGTGACATATTGAGTCATGTTCCAATGTAACATCGGTCTTCCTGGGGAGGGGCGTTCCTGGACCTCCATG